GAAGTAAACGCGCTGAGGATCGGGATGAGGATGATTGGGGCTATGTAGTTATTGACTAAACACTATTTGACATCTGTGACTGGTTTCGAAAACAAAGATAAAAGAAATGGTAGTTCTGACACCAAAGATGGAACTGTCAGTTAAAGCTGTTGCCGTAAGAGAGAGAGAGAGAGAGAGAGAGAGAGAGAAAGAGAGGGGGAGACAGAGACAAAGACAGAGACAGAGACAGAGAGTGACAGACAGAGAGACAGAGAGTGGGGTTAGAAGAAGGAAAGAGAGCAGAAGGGAAGAGAAAAAGGAGAGAAAGGATAGGGTTTAGAGTTATGGAAGAGGGCTATGAGAAAGTGAAATAGAGAGAGTAAGAAGTATAAGAGATCAAGAGAGAGAGGAGAGGGGTTTGAAAGAGAAAGAGAGAGAGATATATGCACACACACACACACACACAAACAAACACACACACACACACACACATATATATATATATATATATATATATATATATATATATATATATATATATATGCAGAAATAGAGAGTATGTGTAAAATAAAAAGAGAGAGTGTGGAGAAAGATAGGAAAATTGTGAGAAAGAAGGTGGAAGAAAGTTGGGTTGTGTGGGAGAGAGGAATTTAAAGGAGGTGAGAAAAGAAAAAAGCATGGAGTATGAGGGAGAAAAATTATGTATATATATATATATATATATATATGCACACACACACACGTGTATATATATATATATATATATATATATATGCACACACACACGTATATATATATATATATATATATATATATATATATATATATATATATATATGGGCTGTTTCGTTGTATCACATCTCATCAGTGTGGCTAGACATCCGGTTGGTTCAAGCGGGGATCTAAACCCTAGCGATATGGCATAAGTCGGAGATCCTACCTCTCTCTTTGTCTCTGTCTCTCTCTCTCTCTCTCTATATATATATATATATATATATATATATAGCGAGAGGAACAGTGAACAAAACCAATAAATGAAATCGAACGTTAGCGTTTTCTTCGGGACCCAACCCTTGTTCCGAATTCCGACTAGAACAAAGCTTACATCTTCACGACCCAGGGCTTAACTTAGGGTGCTGGGAAACAAACAGGGCTTCAGATCACGTCACGTCATTTTAGCCGGCTAGCGTCTGACAACGTGCGAAAGAGTGTTGGCGGTGCAACCTTTATGCACGACCCGAAGGCATTATGAGGTGACAGGATGAAAAACGAATAGAGCTTGTGTCTGAATAAGATTTGGAAAAGAATCTATACATAACCCTTATCGCTCAACACACACACACACACACACACACACACACACACACACACACATATATATATATATATATATATATATATATATATATATATATATATATATATATATAAAAATGAGTGTGTTTTATTTTTGGAAACCAATTCTTCTTTCATACATGTTTCGCTGAATAAGATGGTTTTTTTTACAAAAATTTGATTAAATACGGCAGGCAAGAAAGATTTAATTAATTTTTTATTTTGTTTTTCCAACACCCTTATATTTATCCCTTTTGTAGGAGTAAGGGTAATTTCACCATTATTTTTCTTTTCCCTAAGCGCTTTCGTTCACTTCGTTAGACAATTTAAAACTGAGTTAGGTGTTTTTGGTGTTGTTAGTTTTCCTCATGTTTTGACTGTTTAAGCTGTACTTTTGGAGGTTGGAGTAGTGTTCGAATAGAAGCATTTATTTCGAGACGTGGACGCGCCTGGAACTTGTGTGAGCATGTTGTTACTTTTTTTTTTAAATTAACATTCCGTTTACACTGTTAAATAAGGTGAGGTCGATATCGGTGAGAGATGTTTAATATATCAGGTCATCCCATAAGTTCTGTCCGAATTTTCCCTTTTTTTTTAAATGAACGAAATTTAAATTTTATAATGTCTAATGGAGCTGAACATCATTTTTATGTTTAGATGCATTTAAACAATCAAATTTTATTTCAGAGAACAATAAAATTTAATTTTGTTTGATTAAAACCGAAGAAAGAAAGAAGTCTAGAAGACCAGAGGAATGATGCAAATCTTAAAAAAGGAAAAAAAAAAAAACTTATCATTCGTTTGTATTCATGGGTCTGAGAAAACAGTTGCATATAGCTGAGATATATATATCAGGTCATCCCATAAGTTCTGTCCGAATTTTACCTTTTTTTAAATGAACGAAATTTAAAGAGTATTTTATAATGTCTAATGAAGCAGAATATTATTTTTATGTTTAGATGCATTTAAGCTGATCAAATTTTATTTCAGAGAAAAATAAAATTTAATTTTGTTTGATTAAAACCCTGCTAACATGGAAGTACCCAAGAATAATTTGAGGCACATAATGCTTTATGAGTTCAAGAAAGGAAACTCAGCAGCCGAAGCGGCTAGAAACGTTCACTCAGTTTATGGAGAGGAATGTGTGAATGAAAGAACTTGCAGAAGATGGTTTGCAAAATTCAGAGGTGGAGATTTCACCCTTGAATCTGAAGATCGAACCGGACGTCCAGTTGAGTTTGAATAAAAGCTTCTTGAAGCAGCCCTTGAAGAAAATCCTACTGTATCAGTTGAGGAATTGGTAGTGGTTCTCAGTTCAAACCATACAACTGTTCATCGTCATCTTCAACAACTTGGAAAAATTCCTAAATTGGAAAATGGGTGCCTCATGAATTGTCTGAAAACAACCTCAAATCCTGAGTTGACATCTGCTCTTCTCTCCATTCTCGCCAACTTGTTTCACCTTTTTGGACAGACTTGTGACTGGCGACGAAAAATGGATCTTTTATCGAAATGTTAAGCGTCGTAGACAGTGGCTTGGTAAAGGGAAGGACCCTAGCCACAGCCGAGAAGGAACTTCATGGGCAAAAGGTTCTTCTTTCAATCTGGTGGGATCGCCAAGGAATAATCCACTTTGAATTCTTACCACCTAACGCAACAATTAATGCTGAAATATACAGTCAGCAATTAGAGCGTTTGAACCAAGCTTTGAGGAAAAAAAGACCTGCTCTAGTGAATCGAATAGAGGTGATGTTTCATCAGGACAATGCGCGACCCCGCACAGCAAGAATCACGTCACAAAAGATCGAAGAACTTGGTTGGGAGAAAATTCCTCATCCACCTTATTCTCCCGATCTTGCTCCTTCAGACTACCATTTGTATCGTAGCTTACAGAATAATTTGGAAGAAACAGCTTTTGTAACACAAGAAGAGGTTAAAACTGATATTTGTGAGTTCTTCGAATCAAAGCCAAAAGAATTTTACAGAAATGGAATTAGTAAGCTTGTTAATAGATGGAAGGAAGTCATAGATAATCAGGGAAAATACATTGTTGATTGAATCTGTAATTAAATGTAACATTTGGTCACTTGTTTTCTTTATTCAAAATTAGGACAAAACTTATGGGATGACCTGATACATGACATCTCTAATCGCGAAATTATCCCGGCAATATGATTTATAAAGAATATGATTGTTTTCGAGCAGAATGTTTGTTAATGCTCCTTGTAAATCGTAAATTCCTTTTCTGCTGTTTTTTTATATATATATATATATATATATATATATATATATATATATATATATATATATATATATATATATATACACATATTTTTTATATTTTTTTTTAATACTACCACTCATGATAATTAAATCAAAAAGGAAGAACGTGGTAGCTAACCAGTTTCGAAACTCGCTTAACACTCTTAAATCAATATATATATGTTATCAATAAAATGAATGACATATAAAGGAAAAAGCGAATATATATATATATATATATATATATATATATATATATATATATGTGTGTGTGTGTGTGTGTGTGTGTGTGTGTGTATTAGATACAAATGTAAAAGAACGAAGTGTAAGTTTTCAGCTTTCAAAACATTAATTTAAAACATGGCTCAATGCAAAAGTAGAGCCGTAAATATTTATTTATTATGCATTGTTACATTAGAACATGGACACACTACAAAACTGTGCATCTTGTTTCAACGTTAAAGAAATCATCAGGTGCGAAATCACGTTTCTACTAAAATATTCTATTCCGAAATGCAGTTATTGAATCATATCTTCCACTTTCCGTTTCTCATATAAGATTAAAAAAAGTATTTATATGTGGAGAAAGAAAGGGAGCTAAGTGATTAGTAACAGCGAGAGAGTGAGAGAAAGAGAGAGAGAGAAATAAGAGGAAAAAGGTCAAGAAAAGGAAATAAACGCTGAAAAAACGGGGAAGGAGGTGATATAAACTAAGAATGGACAAGTGAAAGAAAGAAAGCAACAAGCAAACAAAGGAAAGAAAGACAGGAAGAAAGAAAGAAAGATAGAATTATTTAACATCTTATAAATAACAAATAATGAACTATCCGGCCTTGATCGCATAAGAAGGCAAAAGACATATAAAAGAGGCAACTTTGTTTCAGTGAGAAAAAGTAATAAGGGAAGATAGAAGTATTTAACGGCTGTTTCTATTTCAAATCTTGTCATTTGTACCCACTTCTTAAAATGACCACCAGCATTCAAATTGATGATTGCTATTGCAATATTTTGTTAATGTTTTTACGCTCAAATATTTAACTATACAATAGGCGAATTTCTACGGATATTTTATAGTCGTAGAATCCGCCACGTGCTTATTCAGTCATTAAGTTAACAATTACGATTCGTCAGAAATTTCAAATAGGAAAATTGTTGAACTTTTCCGAGTTAACACTAGTGAGCACTCGTCTAGAAAAAAAAACTGTTAATAAATCTTTTCACCAGTTTTTTTAAATTAATCTTTTACGCGTAAATCAGTTAATTTCAGTGGAATTAATTCTCTTCCAGCAATTTTTCAGATATCTCCACAATATCCTCCTGTCTCTGGCATATCACGAGATCTGTTGAAGAAAGCGGGTAAGCATTTGAAAAACCGCCTTTCTGTTAGCTATACTATCAGTCAAGTGCCATCCGGTATATTTGTTACCCGTACAATCACCGAAGATAAACAACGTCGAGCCAGGTCAGTACTTAGATGGGTGACAACTTGTGAATACCAGGTGCTGTAAGCTTGAGTGTGAGGATGGTGTAATTGATAATGGCTCGGAATTGTTAATCAGACAGCCGAGTTCCAATTCCAGTTGGGATCGTTATATTCACTTACTCGCAAATACCCTGGGGAAAAGTACAAATCCGACAATCTTCCCCCAAGATATGGATTAAAGAGCAATATAATTGTCACTAAACATTATTATCTAAAAAACAAAAGATCCTATAATCTAAAAATATATTCTGACCTGCAAATCAAATTATACGCGTTACACGCTTGAGCGGTTATGTCTTTTTTCGATTCTTGACTGATTTTCCAGCAGTAAGTTGCCATTTCTTTTTGCGGTAGACTGGTTGATAAACAAGTCTATAGGACCCAGACTATCCTGATATTCAGTCTATATCTGGGGAGAGAAGAGATGGCTTCACACCTTTCCCAAGCGTTCGTCAATAGTTTGTAATATATACCGCGTCAGACAGACTTTCAACGTTGGCAGGCAACGAAGAATAATCAGTGTACATAGTATTTACTACATTATCAACGTCTCAAAGGCAAATCAATATATATATATATATATATATATATATATATATATATATATATATATATATATATATATATATATATATATAATGTATATGTAGACAGCGTATTTTATTGAATATAATATTCCGGGCATATGCAATTATGAAATTACGTGTATAGTTCCCCGTGAGGATTGAACTCACTGAAGAAAAAATTGGTTAAAGAACAAACGCTCCACAACGCAATGATTGATTAAAATAATACTTAATATCGAGATTTTTCTTAAATCTTATAATTATTATGAAAGATATAATTTTTAGTTTAAACCATATAATTATGATGAAAATCATGTTTAAGATTTTTTAAAATCTTATAATTATTATGAAAAACAGCATTATGATATTGTTTCTTAAATCTTATAATTATGATGAAAAGCATGTTTAAGACTTTTTCTTAAATCTTATAATTATTATGAAGGACATGTTTAAGTTTTTTTCTTAAATCTTATAATTGTAATGAAAGACATGATTTTTTTCTTAAACCATAAAATTATAATTAAAAACATGTTTAATATTGTTTGATAATGGTATAATTTTTATCAAAAACATAATTACGATATTGTTTCTTAAATCTTATAATTATTATGAAAAGCATGTTTAAGATTTTCTCATAAATCTTATAATTGTTATTAAAGGCATTATTTTTTTCTTAAACCTTATAATTATAATGAAAAACATGTTTAAGATTTTTTTCATAAAACTTATAATTGTTATGAAAGGCATTATTTTTTTCTTAAACCTTATAATTATAATGAAAAACGTGTTTAAAATGTTTTAAATCGTCTAATCAGTATAAAAAATATGATTACGATTTTCTTAAAGCTTATTATTATTATGAAAAACATTTGTAAGATTTTTTCTTAAATCTTATAATTATTATGAAATACATAATTTCTTTCTTAAACCATATAATTACAACGAAAGACATGTTCACGAATGTTTAAACTTATAATTACTACGAAAAGCATGTTTAAGATCTTTTCTTAAATCTCATAATTATTATAAAAAGCATGAACTAGACATATATTAAAATATTAATAAATATGTTAATTGCAAACATTTTGTATAACAATGAAAAATATGTTGTTTTTCTTTGAATTATATTTTTCGATACAAATATTGATGTGAGCATCTTCAGTTGCTGAAATATTTTTCTTGAGTTTCGTGTCAACATTGATGAAATTATTTTAACTTAACAAGTTGAATATCGCTTCCCTTCCTATTATTGTGCAATCACTAGCGTCATTTATGGAACGTCTGAATTATAATATTGTGTTCATTTGCTTTCCAAATGCTAAGCAAAGTATTAAGAAACATTTAAAAATCGTTAGAAACAAAGAAAAGTGTACTGAACTGTTATGTAATATGTGTCCTCCAATATTGCAGTGAATGCTGGAAAATTTCTTAACAGATGTAGAAGAGACTTGAAGCAAGTTTAAAATGCTTCAAGAGAAGGATGCTGCGAATACCATAGACTGAACATTTAAGATACGACGAAATTTCAGAGAAACGAGGTCCATAAATTACACTTAAAATCAGAATGACGTATTTGAAATTTCTTGGACACATAATGAGAAAAAAAGGGCTTAGAAAATTTGACACTCAGGGGATATGTAAGGGCAGAGGAAACTACCAGATAAGTTACCTAACGGGCTTTTGTAAACGCTTGGCAGAACAGGCTTTAGGAGAGGAAGCCAAAAAACATTTATTTTGAACTATAAAAGATCCAAAAATCCTGTAGAGCCGTGTTTGTTAACATCACGAAAATGTAAGTCACCTAAAAGATGTTCATCCAAGAATTTTGTTTCTTGGTTAGAGGTAAGATTAAATGTTATAGAGATGGAGTGAATGATGGAAATTATCAATAGCAGATATGGACAAATCTTACAAGAATTTAACAATTGTCTGGACCGTCCAGTTACAGACGACTGAATTTAGAAAAAAACGAAAATAATGGATATAAGAGACTGTGATCTTTTTACGGTGATTCAGATTAATATTCACATCCTTGTTGTATCTGTCATAACCATTAGACCAGTTCGTTTCTCAACCTTCCTCCAGTATCGGATTTTAAGTGTATTTTATTTAATGGACGGTTTAGTCACCATCTTAAATCATTTCGAAAAGTATAACAGAATGGACAGTATTAATACAAATCAGGAAATTGAAAGTTAAAATTTCCGTAGGCACAGCCACTTCAGTAATCGGTAAGAATGAAAATCTATTAGTTCTAATGTGAAATTCTGCAGACAAAGCCAGTTCTGTACTAAGTATGGTTAGTCTCTGACTAAATGGGTTTTAAACTTCCTGATTGCAAAGCTAATCTGGAATTTAATTTGATTACACTTGCCCTATTTGTAGTCTGAAATACTCGCAGACAAAAGCAATTCAGTGATCAGTTTGAATAAAATCTGTCAGTCACGTTTGAAATTTCTGAAGACAAAATTGATCCAGTAGTTATATTTGTTAAAATCTGAATATTTGGGGTTTGAAATTCTTGAAGCCAAAACACGTTAAAAGTCAGTCTGACTCAAATATACCTTATTTGGTGTTTGAAATTCTTTATAACAAAACGCATAGAAGTCAATCTGTTTATAATCTGAATATTTGGATTTTGAAATTCTTGACGACAAAAGAAATTTAGTACTCACAAGCAGCATGGCCCGGCGTTACCCGTGCTTGATTCAAAAATCGTACGACTCATACATCAATCGCTATCATTTGACTTAAAATAGTTATGGCTTTCTTTGCCTTTAAAGGGGTGGCGTTTTCCGTGCTGATGTTGCTACATGCCTTACTTCTTGCCTATTTCACACTGCGAATTTTTTCTAAGTTCTATACTAAACATTAAGTCTGTTACGAAAACCCTACCCCACTCCATAAAACATACCCTTTGCTTTTAAATATAGATCTATGAGATGTATACTAAAATTAATACAATCTCAAATCTTACATTCACTCCATGATCACATCACCTGAGTCCTTGACTATTGCAAAAGTAAAATAGTCGATGATCCTCAAAACCGAAACGTATTGTTCTCTTAATCGGTCGGCTTATCATACAAATCTCCAAGATATAAAGAATCATTGGGACTTTTGACAGACACCAAAGTAATGTAGGTACATCGAATTATTAGCTGAAAAAAAAAGAGCATAGCACGATGAAAAAAGTCCAAAACTTGATAACAACAAAGTTTTATCGTCCAAATTATTATGACGAATTTATCTTAGATTATTTTATTAAATTTTTTAATCCTTTGTAGCACGTTCGAAATTTCACTAAAACATCTTGATTTTGCACTTTTTGTTTCGGTAAAAAAAAAACAATTAATCTGTTAATTCTTGAAAATAACTGTCGAATTTTAATCAAACTTTCTTAGATCTTATTCATTAGGATTTTTTTTAGGAAATTTTGAAAGAAATATTTTGGGTGACGAATTTATTACTACTTGACCCACCGCGATGCGAATGAGTCCGAAATTTTATTGTCGACTAGCAGCATGACCCGGCGTTGCCCGTGCTTGATTCAAAAATCGTACGACTCATACAGCAATCGCTATAACTTGACTTAAAATATTTTTGCCTTTCATTGCCTTTAAAGGAGTGTCCTTTGCCGTGCTGATGTTGCTACATGCCTTACTTCTTGCCTATCTCACACTGCGAATTTTTCTTGTTAATGTCCTACGAAACATTAAATCTGTTACGAAAAAAAAATAAACAAAATGAACACAAAACGATCAGCTTTATAAAAAGGACTCGTAATTGGAAAAACCGAATGAAAAAGGAATGTTAAGAACAAATAATTTTCACACCCAACCCAGTTCTGCGGAATCAGAATCAACGTTGAGTTTAAGCAATCGAATGAGCCAATTGGAGTAGAGTGCCATGCAGATTAAACTTTTTCCCACATGTGACGAATGCAGCTATCGATTTTTTTTTACATGCTAGTTAACATTCGTGTCAGTCAACTGTTGGCTCTCACGCTGGCCAATAGAATCTTCCTGCCTATTCGTGGCAGCCAGCTAGCTATAGGCTCTCACTCTGGCTTATAGAAAATGGCCGCAAACTACATGAAAACTGCCGTAGAAGCATGAAAAAATCGATTATTTCTACTATCGATGGGAGTTGGGAAATGTAAAGTCGGTCTTGGCTTTCCCGATAACTTGGAGCATGTGCATGTAAATTATGGTGCAAATCCGTCGAAAATTGCGGCCGTGCATTCGTTACACAAACACACACACACACACACACACACACACACACACACACACACACACACACACACACATCCTGCCTTTTATAGATTTTTGGTTAAACTCTGAATATCTGGAGCTTGTAGTTCTTGATGACAAAAACAATCTAGTAGTTAGTCTGATTAAAATCCGAATATTTGGTGGTTGAATTTGTTGAAAATAAAAGGAATGTGGTATTTATTC